TCTCTCTCTCCCTCTCCCCCCCATCTCCCTCTCCCTCTCTCTCCCTCTCCCTCTCTCTCCTCTTCTCTCTTTTCTGTTTCTCTCTCCCCCTCTCTCCTTTTCCCTCCCCTCCCCCCTCGCTGTTGCTCTCTCTCTCTCAGTTGCACAGGGTCACTTACGTACTGACATTCTTACTCAAAGCCTTTAACGTGCTAACCAGACTATGGGAGCTGCATCCCACCATCTACATTCTCAGTTGCGCTTTGAAACACGTCAGTTACAGCAGCGGGCTGGGATGTTACACAGTCAGAAGTTGCAAGTGTGTGACTGGGGATAGATTTTGGCTCCACTTCTTGGCGTAAACTCTTATTTTGTCTCTAAGGCATATAATGGAAGATATTTTGGCTGTCATTTCCCACAATTAAAAAACCCTACAAAATTGAACAAATGGGCAGCCTGCTGTTCCTGATTTTAGAAACTGCCGTGCACACAGGTGACTGCTCTGTCATCCGACCATTAAACATGGTCATAAGATTTTAGTGAATTTCGGTAAGGGAAATATAACTTGTCCAGAACCATATCGAGTCCAGGAGCAAGAATAAAGTTGGGAAGTTTGCTACATCCCCTAGGATCTGCATCCTGGTTATTAACCTTGTGTCTAATAGCTTCTATTTGTGGCCCGGGCCCATATCTAAGTACCAGCTGTCCACATGCATGTTATTCCATTCTCATTCTTCTCTTTAGTTTTTAAAGAGGCCATTCTCATCCTTAACCATTAACTATTACTGCAAAGCTAGGATTATAGAATGTCAGCCCTAGAAGGGCTCTCTGGGTGAATCTGATCCAACCACCTAATTGTGCAAAAAGGAATTGTGCAGAATTGAGGCTCTGTGGTGACTTGGACAGAGACACACACAATGCATGTTCCTGGGTACAGTAAGACCAAACCCCAGGTATCCTGGCTTTCAGGCCAAGGGGCCTCGCCACCTCTATACTACATAGCCTTGTCTCTAACAATAGAACACCAACTCCATATTGAGAAACCTGCAGAAATACTGCTATATCCTTTGACAAAATAATTTTACTCTCCTGTCCTCAGTGTCTTCTGTAAAATTAGAAGATTGGGTGACCTTTAAGATCCTTCCATTTCCATTTTTTTTTTTAGTTTCTCTGAATATTCATTGTGGCAGTCAATAAAATTCAGTCTCTTTTTTAATTACAATATATTCTTTTCTTAAATGAGATATGCATATTTATTAAAATGACTTTGTTTTATAAAAGTCCCTTAATATGCAGTATTTATATTCATTTATTTATTTAACAAACAACACATTAAGCTTTCAACTAATAATCATGGTGGAGATAACAGCATGAGCAGTAGCTTTGTCCTTAAGGTCTGTACACAGACATTGAAGTATAAACCCCTTATTCAAACCGAAATAAAAGATTCATTGCTTTCTTTGTTCTTTTTAAGCAGATTACTTTTCATAGACCAGTGTGAGCATAATGATAAGAGCCATTGGTTTAACCTGTATACTGTCAATTTTGAAAGATCATTAGCTTTTATGTAATGGTACGGTATAGTATACTCTTACAAGCATGAGATAAATTGTCCAGCTTTTTAAATCTAGAACACAGCCAAGATGAAACCTCTGTTGAAAGCAGCCTAAGTTTTAAAAGTCAGACAGTGTTAGTGAATGGAATTCAAGACACGGGCTGGGTATAAAATCGGTACTTTTGGATATAGATACAAACCACGTGCTAGGAAATCTTCCTGTTGTTGATATCACAGTCATTGAGTAACTAAGTTAACATCAAAGATCATGCAGCTTCCAAATGTCGAAAGATTTGAGATGCTATCTTTCCACTTCTGTTTAGTAACCCTACGTGACTTTTTGGTCTGCAGATGTATGCAAGCCGGATGCTTCCTGTAGTCAAGCCAGACCACCCTCTGTGCAGTCTTACATGGACGCTGCTTTCCTTCTGGATGGCTCCCGGCATGTGGGAAGTGCTGAATTTGAAGACATAAGAGGCTTCCTGGGAGCCCTGTTAGATCACTTTGAAATCACACCAGAGCCTGAGACCTCTGTCACTGGAGACAGGGTGGCCCTGTTAAGCCATGCTCCCCCCAACTTCCTACCCAACACTCAGAGGAGTCCCGTTAGAGCTGAGTTCAATCTTACCACCTACAGTAGTAAACGCCTCATGAAGAGGCACGTGGAGGAATCAGTTCAACAACTAAATGGGAACGCTTTTATCGGTCATGCCTTACAGTGGACTGTGGACAATGTCTTTTTAAGTGCGCCCAATCTGAGAAGAAACAAAGTCATATTTGTGATCTCTGCTGGGGAAACCAGTCACTTGGACAGGGAAACCTTAAAGAAACAGTCTTTGAGAGCCAAATGTCAAGGTTATGCCCTATTTGTGTTTTCCTTTGGCCCTACTTGGAATGACAAGGAACTGGAGGATCTAGCCAGCCACCCTTTGGATCAGCACCTGGTCCAGCTTGGCCGAATTCATAAACCTGACCATAGATTTGGTGTGAAGTTCGTGAAATCCTTTATAAACTCAATCAGGCGTAAGTCACAAAATCTGTTCTCTCTTGCCCATTTATAGTATACTTAGTAATCCCAAAAGAAGGGTTGATGAGCTGACATGGATTCTTGGAAGCCTCTGTGTGTCTTCAAGGGCATGGCAGGGTCAGAAAGGAAAATATGCGATGATGAATAGTGGAGGGAGGAAACCTCTGATTCCTAAGCATTTAATTTTCTGGCTCATTCTTTTTATGCCTCTGGTTCCTATGGAGAAGCAATCAAAACAAGCAGCTGCTCACACATCTGTCTACATGGAGCAGTATAGTCTGGGGGGGGTCAAATCCCAGCCTGGACTTTGGCTACAAAGGAGAAACCCTTGCCATGCAGCATTAGTATGCTACCCTTTGATGGAAAGTTTCATCAGTTAACATACCAAAAGAGAGAGCCAAAGAAAAACTTAACAGTTCTTGCCTTTGCTTTTACAAGTTCCAAAGGCAGAGTTTGAAGTATTAAGAGATACCATATTACCTGTCATAATGAAACATAGATCCTTGCAACACTTTCTCAGCCTTGTTAATGACTTTTTATGATGCCAGTAATTAGTATAGCTGGTGCCCATTAAAAAAAAAAAGCCCATATTTCTTGGCGTGAGCTTGCCTTGGAAGTATGCAATTCATTNGCCGCTCACTGCGGCTGCTGGCCGCTCACGCTGGCTGCTGGCTACACACGGTAGCCCATGGCAACCCACTGCAGCAGGGGCTGCAGCCTACGCCGCTGTCGCAGGCGACCCCACCTCCAGGTTGAGCTGTTGTTCAGCATCTTAGCTGTGGAGGGCATTGTCACTGGCCCTCATATGTGGGATCCAAACCGGGGCCCTCTGGCGTCCCAAACCAGTTCTTAACCATTGCGCCACTCAGCCAGCCTGAGAACTTTTAAGATTTACTATCTTAGCAACTTTTAAATATACATACGGCATTAACTGTAGTCACCATGCTGTACATTACATCCCAGGACTTATTTAAATATTTTATAACTGGAAGTTTGTACCTTTTGACCCCCTTCACCCATTTCAACCATTCTCCCACCTCTGGCAACCACTAATCTGGAGCCGCCTTTCCTTCTTCCTGCTCTCCAAGCCTCAAACTCCCCAGGTAGGTTACTAACAATGGGGCCAAATTGGAAAGGGTCGGGAGTTGTTCAGAAGAGAGCTAGCCACCTGGCCATGGACCTGGGTCTGCACTGTAAAGCCAGCTTCAAGCCTGGTGCATAGTGAGGACTCAAAGATAGTTGTAAAATGTGTCCTGTTATTTCACTTGGTTCTCTGGGACGTGGGGTCCTCTCAGCGGGTGGAGGGCTGTCTCTGTTCCTCCTCCTTAAATGGCTTCTGTGTCCAGTGGGGTTTGATTAGTCCTTTTATTACTGAATTCAAGGGGTTCACCAGTTGGGGTGTTCTATTCAAGAATGAGACATGGTTGTTGTTAGGTAGTTTCTTTTACTTGCGGCAAGTAAAGGAGACAGTGGATTCACATCCAGAGCGCTGGCTTCTCCAAGGGAGGTATAGCCATTGCTTATATACACTATTTGGCTAATTACATGTTGATTTCTTCTTTGCAGGGGACTAAACTTCTCCTGATTTGCTTAATTGCAAGTTGATTTCTTCTTTGCAGTTGGCTGCACTTATTCACTTGGGTCCCAGGCAAGCTCATCCTGTTATAGCTGTATCTGCAAAATACTATGCTATGTTTTAACATTTAGCAGAATAGCATTTAGTAAGAACTGCCCAGACCTTGAGACTCTTGTCCTGTCTAAACGCTTAAACCTTTCTTTGAGCTTCAGTTTCCTCACCTGTACAATGGGGATGATGAACATAAGAACAAACTCACTGGGTTGTTGAGATAATGGATAGGAAAGTGCTCTGTAGTCTCAAATGATCCATGTAGCACTCACCCTGAGCCAGTAAGTGCTTTTCAATTATGAACTCCTTTAATGCTTACAGTAGCCCCGTTCGGTAGAAAGTAGTATGATTGTTCCATTTTGCAGATGAGGAAACAGCGGGAAAGTAACTTGTCATCCAGCTAAAGGGAGTGTCGGGGCTTAAATGCAGGCAGTGCCCTCAGCCACCCTGACATGCTGTGCCTGCCCGTGACTGCAGAAGCAGCAGCATTCCTCTCTCCACATCTTAGTTCTCTGAACAATCCTAGGAAGTTCCTGCAGCCTCACCCACTAAAGCTGTTCCTTCTCTTGCTTCTCCTTCTTGCAGATCGACGACACTGGCACATTCCAAGTAAAAATGGTTCCATCAGGGACTGACTACATGCCAACATTAGAAACACTCCAGAGATGCACTTTCTGCTATGGTAAGACCCACAGAAAGAACATAATTTGATCAGGCCTGTTAAACACATTGAGTCACTGTTGGCAGGAGAGGCTGGAATCTGGCAGCAAGGACACGCGTGGCCTGGGGAGAATTTCCCTGGGGCTCACCTCATCACACTGCATGGTCCAGGGACCAGGGATGGTGCTCTCAGCTCAGCAAGCAGGTCGCCTCCAGGTGTCACATCAGGAGGGTTACATTCTAGGCTTCTCCGCTTTGTGCCACTTCCAGGAAACAGTAACGATTTTTAGAAAAATTTAGCCTGTCTCATTGCCAAGTTTTTCATGCTGTAAGGTATATTTATGTGTTTTCTAAATCTCTAATGCTCACAACCCCCGGGAAATGTTTTACAGTAGAAGTGGAAATTAGCAGAAATTCGTGTATGTCTCGAATTGAAAAGACGCTTCATGGTCTCCCAAAGGTCAAGCATCAAAAAGATTTGCAGTGCTGGTTTGTGTATTGTTTCTTACCTGCAGCTTATAGGCCTAGCTAGAGACCTGGCTAGACCTGTATTTGAGTAATCTAATAATTTGAATGTTTTAGTAATTATGAAAAGAGTGAAAGCCACTGAGAGCTAACAGTTATCAAATATTTATCAGAAACTGTGCACTGTTCTGATAGCTTTACATAACACTGATGATGGTGGTGAGGATAGTTAATAGTTAAGCTATTGTACTTATTGTATTCCAAGCACTCTCCTAATGGTTTCATTCGATCCTTATAATCACCATAAAACTTTTAAACTATTATTAGCTCCATTTTACAGATGAGGAAAATGAGGCTTAGAGAGATGAAACGATTTGCTCAGAACCTCACAGCCAGGGCAAACCCAAGAAAATTGGCTTTAAAACGACTGCAATTTATGAGGAACAGAGATCCCATTATTTTCGGTTCCCTGAAACTTTATTTGCCCTTGAGGAAACTGCTTAATTCCTCTCCTTCTCCATGTGTATCAATCAGATGTTAATGCTTGCCATATAACTGACCTCACAGGAAGGTGGTAACTCTGAGAGAAAATTATAATTTCTTCCAATAATCCTCTCTTCTTCCTGTCTTCCCCTCTGCTTCCTTCCAATCAATCTCTCCCTCCCTCATTACTTCT